TTTAGGGGTTTAGGGGTTTAGGGGTTTAGGGTTTAGGGGTTTAGGGTTTAGGGGTTTAAGGGTTTAGGGGTTTAAGGGTTTATGGTTGAGGGTTTAGGGGTTTAGGGTTGAGGGTTTAGGGTTGAGGGGCTCAAGAATTAGGGGTTTATGGTTGAGGGGTTCAGGGTTGAGGATTTAAGGTTGAGGGTTTATGGTTTAGGGTTCGGGGTTGAGGGTCTTGGGTGCAGGGTTGAAAGTTTTGCACTTAAGGTTTGCATTTGACGAGTTTAGGGTTTGAGTGGATAATAGAGTTTCGGGCTACGGTCAGGGTTTAGGGTTTAGGGTTTAGGGTTTTAGGCCCCCTGTAGTTGGCATCCGGTGTAACGGAGCAGGGAGACACAACGAGTCAGGGTCCACGTACGTGCCTAGCGTCTTGCCCAGAAAGCCTCTCAAGCAATGTGACTTGACACAGCCATGAATTCCTAGCAGTGAAAGTTTCGGCGGCTTCTGTGTGCTACTCCTATCGGAAAAGGGCCTAGACCCGAAACTCCAAACCCTAAACCCATTTAACAAACCAAACTCGAATCATCTGGCTTTAGTGTGCGCATGTTTGTTGGACAAGCTGTTTAGGACCTTCCTTGGTTTGGATATCTGGGGATTCGGGTTTAGGGGTTTAGGGTTTAGTAGGGTTTCGAGATTGGGGCTCTCTCTTGCAGTCTTTTGTTCACGAGTTTTCAGACCAAGCTGTTGCTAAGCTACCCAGCTACTCCTAGTAGAAGCAAAGCTGAACACCATGTTTCTCCCAGATCCCCTTAGAATCCCAAGAAAAGGAACCACAATCCAAAACGGAAACTAGGCCAAACAAGACAATGGTAGTTCGCTAAATTCGGGTGCCTTTTTGGGGCACCCTTATAAAAGGACCCTAAAAGAGACCCTATTTTAGAGAACTACCCACATGACAGCAGAGAGGGTGTAGCAGCCGGCCATGGACATGTTGCTTCAAACTTGGCTCTGCGCTCTTCTGAGAGGAATTTAGGGTTCAGGGTTAAGAGGTGCAGGGGTTTAGGGTTTAGGGTTTAGGCTTTAGTGTTTAGGGTTTAGGGTTTGCTGGATCATAATTGGATCTGCAAGCAGGAACGATGTGCTGGGCACCTCCTCTTGCCACCCATACCCTCTGCTGTGTCTGTTACTCAGCAGGGGCGGGACTATACAGAGCGAAGCCACCCAATGTCGAAAACCATCTCGTTGAGCGAGCTTCCGAGATTAGGTGCCAGCAAAGGCAGAAACGAGACTCAACAGAGGAGGATTGCTCCACACTCTAGATGTTCCAACAGGCAGGGCCCAAGCGAAGTATTTGTTTGGGACATCCTTGTTGCATCTTTGAAGGTTTCGCCGCGTAGCTCTGGAATTTTACGATTCGACGATTTGCACCGGACACCGGGAGGGAGGTTAAAAGAGGGGCTTCTGGCGGTCTCCTCCTCTTAGGACTGTTTTCGGATCGTTGCTCTTCTATTGCGGGATCTGAAGCGGCACCTCCACCCACACCCTACACTACCCTAGCCCTAGACAGCAGAAAGACCGATTGCTGCCCGGCTCATGGGGGCTAACTTACCGTCTTTCCTGATTGAAAGCTCTTAACATCTCTTAACCACGCAGATGAACCGGCAGAATACAGGAGCTACGTCGCTGACACCCTCAGCCTGAAAAGGAAGCCATCAGGGTGTCTAGGAAGGATACCGATTCTGGGCTCTCGAACCCCTACTCTCAAACCTCATTTGCTGAAGCCCATAAAACCTGAAATCCCCACAAGACGGCCTAAGCAGGTAACCACTCCTAAGAAATGAGAACCCGTTCTGGCTTCCTTCGATTGCTTCGGCCCTGAAGCTGTACTACAGCCTCATATTCAGGCTAGAACCCAGGGCGTCGGAATTTGAGGGTCTACGGTTTAGGGTGTTGTGTCTTCAAAGGTTTTGGAGGTACGAGTTGAGAGGTTAAGCGTTTAGGGTTTAGGGGTGCTCCATGTGGGTAGCTGTCAAAATTATGGTCCCTTTTGGGGTACCCTAAATAATAGGTGCCGTATTATAATAAGGACCCCAAAAAGGAACCATAATTTTGACAACCACCCGTGTAGGGCACAGTGAGTTTAGGAGGTACCAGTGAGGATTGGCCTCGGGCTTCCGGCCGAATAGCCTTTCGGGTTTGGGGTTCATACAAAGCCCTAAACCCTAAACCCTCAACCCTCTACCCAAAACCCTAGGTAAGGTTCGAGGTATCAAGGTTGATATAAGGAATGTGGGGTTTCAGACTGCCTACTTAACAATTGCAAGGCTTCAGGCTCTTTGCTTGTGCGGAAGTACATGGGATGGGGATCCGGACTACTCCTGCATCTACCTGTGGCCCCAAAACCCCACCTTGTTCAAGAACTTATAGTATAGAAACCATAGAAACGATAATAAGGACAGTTAAAAAGAAAGGTTTTCGGCTACAGGTGCATCTTCCCCTCACTGGATCTTTTGCTGATAGACCCTCTAGGCGTCGCGAACCTAAGCACGTTAGGGCTCGGAGAATGGCATCGGCTTGCTTTCTATCGGGATTCGATAGGGGTTTATTATGTACGGGGTGTGGTCAAAAGGCTCCGGAGGATTTATCTGCAACGGTCTCCGGACCCTGGGCTCTTCTTTGGACTCGGCGAGTGCGACATGTATGCCGAGACCGTAGTATAGGTAGTTCGTAGTGGTATAATAACTACATTGGAGTCAGAAACCAGCAGAAAAGATTAGTCTAGTTGCGGTCACTGAATTACTGATTATTCAGGCCTGTAGATTGCCTGAAAATGCCGGAGCTGGGAACCTCAATGCTCTAGACAGCCCCTTGGTCGATGATGATGCTCCTGCCACAAGCGCTGATGCCCGCACCTCAAGCCACGGCTTCAGGAAACTTTTACAAAAAACTGTACCTGACATAAAACCTGAAAACTCTGCTGCACCAGAGCTCCTATTATGACGAGGGTGCGGGTTGGGGTGCGGGGTTTCAGCGCATCGTGCGGGGGATCATGTCGACAAAGTCTCTCAAAGATTGTGGATTCAAAAGTTGCGCTAAGGATTCGAAAGCGGTTGCGTGCAACCGCCTCAGCACGAAAAACTGGCTTGTCAATAGAGATCCGAAAATTTCAAAAAACGTATAAACGCCATACACCCTCCTTGCTGATTAGTTCCTACTGTGTAAGATCTGCGACGACAATATAGCCTGGAAGCCAGCCCCTAAAAACCCTAAACACTAAACGTAAACCATGAACCCTAAACCCTAAACCCGCCTTAGAGGCCCAATATATAACTTACGCTTGCGCTCTTCGGTTCGGCCCCACGAGCAAATTCAGAAAATGAGGATCCTACACCTAGGCGTAGTGCAAGAAAATCCTAGCATGTCTGCACAATATTATAAGGGTTTAGGGTTTAGGGTTGGGAGTCATATATGGCTCATACCACTCTATAAAGACAATGTAGACCCCATAAGGTCCCCATTAAAGCCCGGACATCTTTCAAGAACCCAAAAACCCCACACAAGCAAACACCCGTAAACCCTGAAGCCTAAACCCTAAACCCTGAAAAGGGTGCCGGGACACTGAAGCTGATATCATCGGGAAGAAGCTGGGCCGCAGGCATCTTGGACAATGCCTGAAAGGCTTTAGGAATTATTGAATTTAGGGCTGGAGGTGTAGGCTTTTGGGTTTCAATTCAATTCAAGCCCCTAAACCCCTAAACCCTATAAATTCAGGTTTATGACTTTGGATTTCCGTGCTTCGTGGATCCAGGGTTCTGGATTTGGGGTTTAACCTGCGAGTTTATACAACTAAACCCTCAACCCTAAACCCTAAACCCTAAACCCTAAACCCTGAACCCTAAGTGCTTGACAAGGCCTGAATGGCCCACTCCCATCGGGCCCCCTTCTCACAGGCGCTGATAGAAGCGTTGAAGCTGATCTCAGTGAAGGCCACCGTTGCAAGAGGGATTTCCTTTTCTGAAGTAGCAATGGGGCCGTTCTAGGTGTGAGGGGTTGGAGGAAACGTGTAAGGATTACTTCCAAAATTGCTCCTACTAGCACAAAGAAACAATATAACACTCCAGAACACCCTAAACTCGAAACCCCATACAACCCTTAACCCTAAACAATCCTTCGCAGCATACCACTCCAGATCCAAGTTTCAGCCAACACCCCAATGGCTTGTTGCCATTCACCGGCCTTCTCACAGGCACTGATTCCAGCACTCATCGAGAATTCATTGCGTGCAATCCTGGCCTGCGGCATGCCTGAGAGAAAGACAGGGTTTAGGGTTTAGGGCTTATTGGGTTTATAGTCTTTCGGGCGTTAATAGGGCTTATGTGGGTGTAGGGCTTATAGGGTCTTTTGATAAGGTTCAGGGTTTAGGGCATGCCTGAGAGAAGGTGTAGAGCCAGCTGCCATTCCCCGCCCTTTTCACAGGCACTTATACAAGCATCGAGGCTGAACTCGTTCGCTTGAAGCTGGGCTTCGCAGAGCCCTTCAAGCAGTTGTAGAGCCATTTCCCAATGTCCGACTTTCTCACAGGCGCTGATGCCTGCACTGAAGCTGATGACATCAGGCTTCACTTCCTTCTTCTGCATGCGGTCCAGGAGCTCCAGGGCGACCCGCCATTGGTCGCCTTTCTCGCAGGCGCTGATAGCCGCATTGAAGCTGATACGAGTGGGCGCAGCACTTGCAGCAGGCATGATGGCCAACAGATGGAGAGCAAGCTGCCACCGTCCGTTTCCTAAGCTGTTCAGCAACCAACTGGGAAAAAGTATAGACTTTTTTCGGTTAGTTATATCATATTAGGCACAATACCCAAAACAAGTAAAAAAGGATACTACTGAACATCCTAGTTTCTTTCGCAGGCGCTGATTCCTGCATTGAAGCTCACAGTATCAGCCGCGACGCGAAGAGCAGGCATGCTCGACAGCAGATGTACAGCTCTCTGCCATTGCCCACCTTTGGCACATGCACTGATGGCAGCGCTGAAAGTAAACACCGTGGGCTGTAGCCTGGCTGATAAGAGCCTTGCCCGAAGGGTCGCAGTACCTAATAATCCTAGACTCTCAAGAATAGTAACCTACATAACTACTATCCGAAACCCAGGTACCTAATTATTGGGTCCTTTGGACCCTTAGGGTTGGTTCTTGCAAAGGAATTCGATTCTCAAGATTCCATAATAGGGAGACCCTCGTACTGATTATAGACCTCCCATTATGGTAACTTTATCAAAATCCCTCGTACTTATCTATAGAACCCCCCCCCCCCATTGTATGGTAACTTTAAATAAGCTATAGTCCCTAAACCCTAAACCGTAAACCCAAAGAAGCTATAGGTTTCTCCAAAAAGAGCCCCAAGAGCCGGGAGAAGAGCTGCAGAGCTCGTTGCCACTCCCCCGAAGCCTCGCAGGAACTGATAGCCTTACTTCCCCAATAAGCCAGGAAAATAAAGAGTTTAGGGTTTAGGGTTTATAGGGTTTAGGGTTTAGGGTTCAATTTTCAGATTACGACTACTTAGAGGCCCAGGGGACTTAGTAAGTCGGTTATAAGTAGGGTTGTAGTTGGGGCAAGTCCACTTAAGGTACTTATAACTCTACTTAAACCTACTTACTAAGTCCCCTGGGCCTCCAAGTAAATGATAAGAACCAAAAAGCTCAAAAAAAGGTTCGGTATTGGAGAACTAAGTAGCGGCATTGTAGGTGACCTCGTTTGGAAGAGCTGCTGTTCGGGGCATCTCACCGAGAAGATGAAGAGCTATCTGCCAGCGTCCATCAGAGGCACACGCACTGACCGCGGCACTGTAACTGATTACATCCGGTAGAAGCCTCCTCGCCTTCATTTCGGCTAAGAGCTGAAGTGCAAGCTTCCATTGGCTGCCTGTTTCAGCCGCACTAATTCCGATGTTGAAGCTGATACTATCAGCTTCGACCATCGTAGCTGGCATCTCTGCAAACAGCTCCAGAGCCCTCTCCCACTGACCGGGTCTTTCACAGCTGCTCATGACTGCGTTGAAGCTGAAGACATTGGGACTAGTACTTGCCCTCGTCATGCCCGAGAAGACCGCCAACGCCAGGAGCCACTGAGACGAACTCCCACATGCTGTTATAGCCGAGGTGAAGCTGAAAACATCAGGCACCTCGGTTGGTTTCGGATTTGGTGTTTTTTTGGGCCAAGACAAGACCTGCCATAGCTCAGCGTCCTTGAGGCAAAACATGATCTCTGTAGTAGCAGACACTGAACTCTGTTCCAGTGATGAGGAGAGGCGAAAAGCAGACTGATAAGTAGGATAATTCAGGACACATTTCTTGCAACTCTAATACCTATAACCTTTTGCTTACTAGCTCTTCTGGGCCTCCAAGTCTGTCAGTTCAGGCGTGCAGTCCAGGAGGACCCAGGCCGTGGATCTGTGCAGGTTTGTGCGTGAACCCGAAAAAAAAGAAAAAAAACAGCCACGGGTTTAGGGAGAGCCTCGATGTAAGCCAGATACCTGACAGACAGTAGGGCTTGGGTGCCAAAAACCATTCAGAGCATAGTACTTGGGACCTAAACCTCTAATATCTGGGTGCTTCGACCCTCCCGTCAAAGTTCAGCCATGGCTTAAAACTTTCCTCCTAAAATCCTGCGTTTTGGTGCTTCGGGTGCCGAGCCCCTACACCCCCGATAAACCAATGCAAAGTCCCCTAAACCTCAAAACCCCAAACCCTACATTTATAAACCCTAAACCCCAAATCTCGACAGCCCAGGAGCAGACTTCGAAGCAGCGATGTCCTCAAGGAGCCTGAATGGTCTAGCAAGTGCTCGTTTTTCTGGTAGCGAGGGGGGCTCGTAGGCCCAAAGGGTATAGGGTTGATAAGGGTTAAGTTTAGGGGTTTAGGGTTAAGGGTTTTAGGGTTTAGGGTTTAGGGTTTAGGGTATTTAGGGCTCGATGCGGGACCGGATTCAGGGTTTTGATTCCATATGGTAGAAGGATGTAGAAAAGGTTCTAGTTGGTCTATAGTATGGGAGGAGCTTCATGCGCAAAACCCGACACCCTAAACCGTTCTAGGGGCCTAACGTAGGGGCCTTCATATAAGTAGAACAGGGTTTGGGGCTTCCAAATAGTATGTTTATAGTTTATAATAAGGAACCCTACGAATAATATTGGTAGTTATTTAAGTTATTTAGGCTCAATGATATACCATACTGTATGATATACTATACGACAATTAAACAAAGCAGGGAACAAATGCCTGAAGTGCTTGTATTTAGGCTTCTATATTCATGTCCTTAAGGAGCATACTATTTAGAACTTATAATAAAGAACCTTTTGGGGTACCCTAAATAATAGGTGCCGTATTATAATAAGGACCCCAAAAAAGGACCATAATTTTGACAACCACCCATATGAATGTCCTCAAGGAGCTGGAGGGACACAGTCCACTGATGCGCTCTGGAGCAGCAAGTACTTACCTCTCCAGGGCGGCTGGACAACGCGCTGCTTCGGCATTTTGGGGTCGACGCTGGGGTGTCAGGTTCAAGATGCAGCGCTATAATATACCATACATACACAAAACACGATAAAATACAAATTAAGTTGAATATGCTATTATGATATGCTAATTATAGTAGTATATTGTAAGATAGTTTTATGCGATAGTCTACTCTAATATACTAAAAGATAGTTTTATGCTATAGTCACTATAGTCTACTCTAATATACTATAAGGTGGGTGGGAGGCCCTGCCTGGCACAGCAACTTCTGGTCGAGGAACGGCTGTGCTGCCAGCAGATGCACAGCGGCTTCCCAGTCGTGCCTGCATGTAGGGGGCCTTAACACTTTAAAAGGGTTTAGGGTTTATTGTTAAGGCCCTTAACACTTTAAAAGGGTTTAGGGTTTAGGGTTTAGGGTTCCGTAGTATGATTTTAGTGTTGTATACCTTTTCAAATTATTAAGGCCGCTTAACACTTCAAAAGGGTTTAGGGTTTAGGGTTTAGGGTTTAGCGTCCCTTAGTATGATGTTAGTGTAATATACCTATTCTAACTATTAAGGCCCCTATATTGCCTCCGAGGGCAAACTACAGGCTGAGCTCTGCCTGAATCCTATAATGTAGGGGCCTTAATAATTCAAATACGATTTAAATACGGTTTTAGGGTTTGGGGTTTAAATGCCTGAATCACTGAATCCTATAATGTAGGGGGGCCTTAGTAGTCAGAATAGGGTTTTGGGGGGTTTGGGGGGTTTGGGGTTCGTTTGCGGGTTTGGGTTCAGGGTTTACGGGTTTAGAGTTTTGGATGTCTGAAGGGTTCTGGGCTTCTGGTGTAATGTAGGGGCCTTAATAGTCAGAATAGGGTTTCGGGGGTCCCTGACTACGATTCTAGTATATAATATACCCCCCAAACACGCTATTCTAATGATTCTAAGGCCCCTATATTAAGAAAACAGTTTTTTGTACGGCTCCTAGTCCTGGCGCGAATCAAGCTTGAACTTTCCAAACCGCTTTTCGCCGAATTTCCCTAAAACTCCCAACTTTGGGGCCCCAAGCCCCAAACCCTAAACTGTAGCCTCGAAGCCCCCATACATGCCCTGAACCCTGGCCTGAAAAAACCCTACACCCTAAACCCTTTTGGCATAAACCCACGGTTTAGGGTTTAGGGTTTAGGGCATAAACCCACGGCTTATAGGGTTTAGGGTTTAGGGTTTAGGGCCAATGGCCCTCATAAAACCCGAAGTTCAGAAAACAGCAGCAGTCCTCCGACAAGCAGCGCGCACCCCCCTGACACCCGTAGAAGGGCTGCTTAGCCCACGGTGAGCCATGGCGGAGACAAAGCTTTGGGGGTCCGCTGTGGGTTCCTTGAAGGGCTCCGTCCTTGAAGGGGCCCATTAAGGGATCCATGGGGTAAGGGTTGAAGGTTTTGAGGTAGAGGGAGGAGGGCTTAGGAGTCTAGGGTTTTGGGTTTTGGGTGCTGAAAGATTGTGATTTTGGAAGCTTATAGGAAGCGCATAGTATGGGTAGGGCTTGGGTAGAGTTTGGGACCTCTTCTGCACTCACTGAAGCTGAAAGGAACAGACAGGAAGAGAGGGGTAGCCGAACGGCAGCGCATCCCATTACGTACTCCAATCCTTTAGTCGGAAACCCTGACGATGGCAGAACATACTAGAAGTTAAGGGTACCTATAAGGATGCTATGATAGGGTTCCTTTAAGGACTGAGCCTAACCCATAATCGCCATCCACGACCCACATCTACAAGCGCAGTAAACACACACACACACAGAGAACCCTCCGACCTCCACATACAAATCTGAAAAAAATGCATGCTCTGCATGCTCTAACTTCACCTGACTGACCCTAAGGCTCAGCATATCCCAAAGGCCTTCTATTATGTGGTATGGTCTTTGGGCCCAAGAGCCTGAAGATACGAGTCCTTAGAGCCTTTGGGTAACCACCCTCTGCCTACTTTCTACATGTGCCAGCTGGAAGACAGACTAGCAACCAAGAAAATGGACAGGCCATGAAAGCATTCCGCAATGTGGGGGCCTTAATGATTAGAATAAGGTTTTGGAGTATACTATACTCCAAAATAACCAAGAAAATGGACAGGCCATGCAAGCATTCCGCAATGTAGGGGCCTTAATGTTTAGAATAAGGTTTTGGGGTATATTATATGCCAAAATAATCTAGCATTACATAGCTTAGCAGTTGCTAACCAATTTAATGCACGGCTCTCTCGGCAGGGCCCAGGCGAGAACGCGGTCACCCACTTGCCATGGTGGGTTCTGATCCTGAAACACACGGTTTCAAACAGAACGTGAGGTTCAGGGCTCGGGGTACCCTAAACCCTAAACCCCAAACCCCTAAACCCCTAAACCCTAAACCAAACCCGCGTTGTTCAGGGCCAAAGTTTCGGGATACGAAGTTCCATCGGGGGGTTCAAAGAAAGACGGCGAATGAAGGCTCAGGGTGCATACGGTTTGATGCTACGTATGCGTAGTTGTCTAAACTATAGGGTCCCTCTTTAGGTCCCCAAGATAGTACGGCACCCTATGAAA